AAATGTGCTGTCTTTACTGCATGTGTATACACTCGCTGTCAAAATCCAAGTCTTTTACAAGCTACATCACGAGACATTTTCTTTACATTTGGGAAGCAAACTGAATCTAGAAGCGTAATTCCCAAGACAAGGTGTGCACAAAATTTATGCTAATTCAGATTCTAAGGCTCCTATTTTAGATAGATTCTTTCTTTGCTTAGGAAAGAGGAATGTGAATGTTACAGAAGGGAACTGGCAGCTCCTCACCCAGGCAATATGTGCAATATGTCCTGATCTTGGACCCACTGTTCTTCTGCCTGTGAGATGCAAAAGAACATGCGAGATAGTTTAGTGAGTACTGTGAATTCAAGTGGCAGTTTGTCTGCTACAGTTTCTATTCAAGTACAGCAGCTAGGGATATGATTGTATTAAAATAAAGAAATGCTAGAGAATGTTTTGCATTTTCAGTATTTAAATGAATTATTTATTGAGCAGCATTAACTTAATTCCCAGCCACCTGTCACAGTGAACTATTTATGAGAAGTGAGCTGAGGTCTGACGGACCAAGCTGCTCAGGTAGATTCTTCCCACTRTGTTGTAAAGTGAAAATATTTAATTATGTGTATAGTTAAATTGCACTTTTATTGTTGATCTAATCTTGGTTGTAAGATGCTTTGCTGTTTCTGTTCTTTAATGTGTCTACCTGATCTTCAGCTTCGTAAAATTTCAAAGCATGGACTTAGTAGTTTAAGATACAATAATAAATGTAGTAATAAACTAGAGTATTTTACAGTACATAAAAAACAATGCTCAGGAATAGTTTAAGAAATATTTTAGTGGCTTTTTTGAGACCAAATGTGAAATTTTAAATTGATAAAGGAAAGAAATTTGATATACAGCATTATATTTACATACTCAGTGTTTGTTACATCACAATTAAAAACCAATTATAGTTGCATGTACATTCTGTTCTATGCAATTAAATGAAACTTAATCTGACATGCTTAACAATCAAATAAATTGGCTGTGTCAGAGGTGTGACGGCACTACTGAGGGTGGCATCCAATTACCAGCAACTGCGGAGCAGCAGCACACGCTTCTGCACAGTTGTTTCAGGCTCATCATGTACATCAGCTTTTTTTGGGCCAAAGGGTCCTGCACCCAATGCCAAGGTTCAGTACTGAAAGTTAGTAGTAGTARTATGTGTGTATATATATATATATATATATAGCTTATTAGCAACAGCAGTTTATATATATATATATATATATATATATACAGCAGTTTATATATATATATATAGCACACCACTACTTTGGTGTGCTATTTTAAGCATCAAAAGCAAAGTGATCAGGATCATGTTCATAATCAACATGGCAAATTTTTCTAAACAAATTCTGGTAGAAGTAGTAATTAGTGTTTTACTATAGCACTGCATATTAGTGTATACTGAAATTTCTTCWGAAAATTTTCTCCATTTTGGTGTTTCCTTAAGTGATTGTAGATATTTGTACATTTTGAATAGTTGGTTCTTAAAAAGTGGTTTAGTCTGCCTTGAACAGAGGAAAGGTGATGGGCACTGGGAGGTTTTTCTCACAAAACTGTGAGATTGGAAAGTCTTACTTTAATGTCCTGCTTGTGGCCTGGAAGCTGTTCTTGGGGACTGAAGAGTTACGTAGGCAAAGATGTTGATGCCACTTAAATAAATCTGCCACTTAAATAAACATTTGCTGAATGCTGAGCTCTGATCTGGTAAGTTTGTCTCATACGGTGATCACACAAGTCTGATTTCTATTCATTGATGATTTGGAACTTCTTACGCAGTCCCCTCTGTTCAGATATGGAAATACAAATCCTGTGTTAGCCTTGATAAAACAGCTCTTAAAATAAGCAGGGTGACAAGGGCTGGATTTTATCCTGTAGCGCTTTTGATTGTGTTTTAAGTTGTCCATGTTTGGGGTTTAGAGATGCAAAGAGTTCTCTCTATGGTGAAGATGACGTTTTATGTTTCCTTCACTTTGTAATCATGGATGTTATCTTTAAAAGCACCTCTGAATATAGAAAAAAAGTTTATTTTGTCAAGTGCATTCAGTCTGAAATTAAAATACTTGCACAGGACAGTGTTTGGGTGGTTCTTTACATTTTTTATCACTGTGCTTAGCAATATAATTAWAGCATTCTTGTGTGTTTTACCCTAACATTCAGGGAACTTTTGAAGAGACATTTTCCTGTGATTTGAGGTATTTAAATGGCACAGCTCTCTTTCAAGATAATAAATATTTAATGTTCTGTAGCACTACCCACAGAGCTAATACAAAGAAAACTTCCCTCCTAAATATATGTAAACTGTTTTCCTTTTTAAATCTCTGTCCCCTTACTTAATGCTAAGATTTTTTAAAACAATAAGGTTCTTCTCATTATATGTTTTTCTCTATTGCCTGAGGCACCTGCAACAAAAATCTGCTCATGTAGAGGGTTATTCCCCATCTTCTGGTCTTGTGGTCCCCATGGACTTTCAGTTAAAGACCGATGTTTATGTCCATGGTCTCCCAAACCTCATTTTATAAGAAATGAAACTTTGCAGTTATTCACTCAGAAGTTGTGTCCCAACGAGGCAGCGCTTGTGTGACTGGTATCTAAAATGCTGGGAAAAGGGGTTTCGAGGGTGATGTGAAATCATCTTCCTCATGTGAAAGATGTGCAAGGAATACTCAACATGCTGCGACCAGCCCTGCCAGCCTGGCACTGGTGTTGTTCATGATGGTCATATTTATATTCTGGGACTGGACTGTTTGGCTTCAGGCTTCTTAATTATGCCTTAATCCTTTCATTGCAGCACTTTTAGTTGTATTTCTTGCATCATCCACACGATGGCACCTGTGATATTTTTCTTTTAAAAAATAATCTGCTGGAGCAGYTTAGGAAGCTCAGATCTGGGGTATCTCAACTATAACATTGCCGATAGCTCAGGTAGATAGTTAAAAACTATATGATTACTCCTACTCCACAAGGCAGTTACTTCTGTAAATGCTGTTTTAAAGCATCACAATACATGCAAATACAGACTGTACTTCATACTGAGATCCTCTCTCTCTCCTGTCTCCAAGGCGATATTAAAATAAAAAAGTAGTGAATGAATTTCACATTCACTGTCATAATCTCCAAGCTGATTAGATCCTGATGCAATGAGGAGCAGAAACATGTSCATAAATGTTTACACACTGCCCCACTTCCTTCTGTTGCTGAGATGGACCAATGCATTTCACTAATTTCAAACATGGCTGTTCCTGTGTTCCGGTCTGACTTATCGAGGGGAAACAGGCAGAAAGATTCAAATAGAAAAAAAGTGCATTCCGATTTCTGAAAATTCCTTTGCTTTCCTGTTCYGAAACACTGTCCTATATTTGTAAACACTACAAACTATTTGTTTCAYACTTTTTACTATTTGAGGTTTTCCTGATGTCTAACCTTCATATCCTGTACTATTTAAGCCAGTTGCTTCCTGTCCATCTAAAAACGAATCCATAAAAATTTGCTTCCTTCCTTATTTTTCCCTTCCCACTCACTTTTAACCAAAATACTGTGGCCTACTTGACCACATTTATTTCTACCTTTTCTCCAGAGAAATGAAGACCAGCTGTTCCCCTAGTCTTCCCTTCACAAATCCCATATGACAAATAAATTATTTTCCAAATCCAAAAAACAATAAACCTTGTGCCCCATAAGAGCCATACAAAAGGAGTAAGGGAAACTCTCTAATAAACTGCTTTCCTAGAAAAAAGACATTCTCTGCTTTTTCTGTGTGACTCAATCTTCTTTTTACACGATAAAAAACCTGTTTCTTTTTTATTTCCTGCTTTTTATTATTTTAAAATTTATTTATAACAGTTCACAAGTTGTGCATAAACTTCAGCTTCAGGTATGGAAGTTCCTACTTGCACAGACGGATCTAGTGTTTAAAGTAAGCTTTTCAGAARTGGTTCTTGGTTCAAAGTCTTAAGTAATATAATAAAACTGTCATGGTTACGATAGATAAGAATTGTTCACGGCACTGCATATATCAGTACTATTTGTAATAGCATATCACCATTAAATATGAGGTAATACACCTCAGTGCCCTCTCTTCAGAATTTGGCTGGGGGGGCAGTTCCAGGGATCCTGCCGAGGACAGCAGGTGGGCTGAGCGCTTCGGGGGTAACCGAGGCCCATTCTGCACCGGGAAGATGCTGGTGCTAGGGGAAATACTTTGCTGTAGCTTTTGTGGGAGGAACAGAGATGGTTCCCATGTGTGAACACAATTTGGCGCTGCCTGGCCTGTTGGAAATAGGGGAATCCAACCCAGGGAGGTCCCACGGATGCCRGTACAGTCAGTATCCCTAGGAACTGCCATTGGGATAGCCAGCTTGTGCACTGGCACTAAGGGAAAACCATCTTCTAAGCAGGCAAGAGGAATGCTGAGTGTGGCTGCGCACTGCTGCCAGGCCGGGATGTGCGGGGGAGCCAAGGAGGAGGTGCCTTGTGGAGCAGGTGGCCTTGGCTCTGCCCCAGTCCTTCCAGTTCCTCCTCCCGAGGCTCTGCAGGGTGTGTGCAGGCGCCGGGGCACAGCCAGGCCCTTCCTGGGCCCCACTCAGCTCCACGGCCGTCTCTGCAATCCCATGGAGCGACTTGCTGCGCTGCTGCTGCTGCTGGCGGTAGGTGCGGGCACGGGCAAACGGTACCTTTCTCCCTGCAGGGGCAAGGCCTGCGGCTCCCAGAGGCTCCCAGGGGCACAGGGTGACCCTGAGCTCAGTGCCCAGAGGAGCTGGGAGCTGCTCTGCTCTGCTCCCCAGCGCTGGGCCCTGCCCTCTTGAGGGATTTCCAGGATGGGTAGTGAAACAATCCCCTGCTAAGGACCTGGCAGASCGTGCTGGGGCCCTGCAGTGTCTGCTGCATTAGGGACCCCCACAGTAATTCAGCAGCATTTCCATGAGAACCCATTTCCGTGGGGCTCATGTTCCTCACTGGCCGTGGCCTAGGCTGGAATGGGTACAGCAGCAGCTGCTGTGCAACCGATGCAGACAAAACAGTGTAGAAGCCATAAAATGCGTGTTTTAAATTAAAGCTTTTAGTATCCTGAAGAGTTGTTATATACACCGCTCTTAAGTGGTGGAGAGCATGAGTGTGGCCATTCAGCACAGACAAGGGCTAACAAGGTCCAGCAGAGCTGGCCCTGGAGCCAAGGTACCAAATGGCACCGCTTGAGTGCCAGATGGGAGCCTTGCTCACTGTTCTTACACATACACAGGCCCAGGGCAGCTGTACAGAACAGCTCCAGGGCACTGCTCTGCGCTTGGGCTGTGAGGCTCATAGCGCTGCAATCCCAGCAGCATTTTGTTGCTTCAGAAATAAGAAAATAAAGACCTGATCTTTGTCCAGCTAGGCAGGAATAGCCCTGCTCCATCTTGTTAATGACACTGCAGACAGTTCACAGAATGCATACGATGCAAGTGGCAACATGAATGTTGTGAGAAGAAGGAAAAAGGTGCACAGGTCAATAGTGTAATGTGAGTATTGTCACACCTGTGCTGGGAGAAAGACTGTAAGTAAAAAGCAAGTTTGAAGCTTGTGCAGGAAGCTTGTGCTTATAAAAGGACACTAACTAACTAGGGTGGGGTCCCATTCCCAATAAAGTATTTTACTCAAGTCTGGATTACAGACTTTGGTCTGGTTTGGGACACAGAGTGACAAAGTTTTAGAGAGCCTGAGGTACTCTTATTTTTTTCAGTAGAAAGTTTATGTCAATACAAATTGTAAAGGCAGGGAGAGGCACAAGTGAGTATTTCAGTATTTCAAGTATCAGGAATTGGTTCTAGAAGAAGCCATGGAGAAAACACTTGGTACAGTTGGGTGCAGCATTTGCATCTTTCTGGGATTGGAATTAGGCTGATCAAAGAAATCAGTATCCCAAGGTCTCATGATAATTCACTTGCCGTGGGAAGGATACTATCTCTGGAATTTCTGTAATTTTCTAACACTAACTACAATTTAGTATACTGCTAAGAGAACTGAATCAATACATTTCTGTGAAGATAAATTCCTCCTGCGTGACATTTGAACCCATGTTTTCCAGCTAACCACATTTATTACAAAGGACTTATCTTTTGTAAGGTTACGGCTGCCAACAGTTTTTCTCATGAAGTTGAAAACTTCCGCTTAAGACAAGCTATCCAACAGAACAGTATCCAGGTTTGTAGTGCGTGTTATTTTGTAGTCGATACACAACCATTAGTATGTTGACTATGACACTAAATGCCCTTCTTTATTCAACAGCGGCAACAGTCTTATCTCTCGGGTGGTCTGCGTCCTCTGCGGCGTATGAAAAGGACATGGGTTATCACCACCATTGTTGTTCAGGAGGAGGAAAAAGGACCGTTCCCAAAATATGCTGGCCAGGTACAAACAACATTATAGTACAAACTCTTCTTGAACCTCTCTAAGGTATTTACCATCAATTCTGCAACAAAATATTAAGGTGAGAGGCAAGAATGGTGCTGTGTGTGCTATTTAAACAGAACTAGGTGGGTTCACACGGTGAACAGGGAAGGCTGCTTCTCTCTTTGGGAAGCGGCTGGCACACTCAGGAAAAGGAAGAGACTGAGGGATCCCTGTGGTGGGGATCCCTGCTCACTTCTGTGACCTGCGAGGTGTGTGGGGAGAGCAGAGAGGGCAGTGGGCTCCCAGCTGGGCCTCGGGGCAGCAGTGGGGCCTTTTTGCCCACAGGGGTGCGTTGCAGCTCAGAAAGCTGCTGGGTCGACCCAACGTAAGCCTGGTAGCAAGGTCCCTTCCCCAAGAAGAGTGGGCAGGATAAGAACCAGTAGAAAGTCTTTTACCGCGGTTTTGTCTTCCCTGTTCACACTGAGCTGTGCTGCTTCTTTTTCCAAAAGCTGTTCAATAACAAATCGTTTAATGAATCAATACGTTATCTAATCAGCGGACCTGGGGTAGATGAAAACCCAGAAATTGGATTGTTTTCTATAGAAGATGATGCAAATGGACATGTGTATGTACATCGTACCATTGACAGAGAAAAGACCCCATCTTTTCAGGTAAACATGCTTTAAAAAGATACATTTGGGAAATATTCTCATGGCTAAATGCTTCACAGGAATGAGACATGCCAATACGAATCTAAAAGGTGTATTTTTTGACCKCCTTTTCTTATTCTCAATTTCTCAATAAATGCAATGGAAATTGTCTTAGCAGAAATCAATAGGTAACTTCTGCATCACTATCAGTTTATAATTTTCATGGCATGTTTAGAGTTCCACAAATATCAGAATACTTCTGTTGTGTTTTTCATGTGACCTAGATCATAGCCTAAAAACAATAAGTCCTGAAGTTCAAAACAGGTTATAGTTGTAGTAGATAAAATACTGAAGTTGTAAACACAAAAACTGCTTTCAAGAGAGTAAAAGTGTTTGGAAGCAAAAGATTATGTATTACAAAAAAAAAAAAAAAATAGGTAACACTGAAGGAGCTGCAAAATAGATTACAATTGCTTTACATAAGAGAAAACATATTCTTTTCCTTAAAAAGCAGAAAAATGGCCACAAGCAGCAAAGTGTAATGAATGAAGTGCAGTAATGAATGCATGAATGAAATACAGGAGCTTGTTTTCTTCTTGCCCAAGCCCAAATATGGGCTTGTTTTCTTCTTGCAAGTATCTTTTCCATATGACTATAACACACTTGTGTCCCTGTTAATGGTATACATTCCATATACATATGGCTTTCTGCAATGAAAGATAAAAATTTTAAGAGTCTTCTCTTCTACCTCTCTGGACATASTGGTGTTCCAGAGCAGATACTCAATGCTTGATTTGAGGAGAGAACTGAGTGTAGTAAAGGAGACCTCAGTATTCAGGATTGAATTCCCTGCACATGCACGAGAAGGGAACCAAAAAATCTTAGACATGAAGCTCCAGAAAAATGAATAGTCAAATGAATTCCCAGTCTTAGAATTGGGAAGGAAAGGCTGATGTGTTTTTTGCCCCTAATGATACTTAAAAATGTTATATTAGGAGTCATTGCAAATAATCCAGCTGCTGATACGAATTTTGAGTATTGTTAATGCAAAGGATGGCCATTATGAAACTTCCAAGATATTAGGAAGATATTCTTTTTAAAGAATGTCCTTTGTAAGTGAAGTAACATCTTAGTTATGCAAGTCAAAGACCTAACCAAATATTCCTGAGGCAGCTTCAACATTAAGTGTCTTGTTCCATTCCGTTCTCTAAGTGGGCTATTGTGTTGCTGCTCATTTAGGTGCGTTTTGACATTGTGCACAGAGAAAGTGCTCAGTTTTTGGACCGACCTTTATTTTTCAAGATTAAAGTTAGAGATATTAATGATAATGCACCTGAGTTTTCCAAGAAAGAATATAACATTACAATAAGAGAGAGTCACGGTAAAGGTAGGTGTAATCTAAACAAGAGATCCTATGGGTTGTGTACTCTACTTTTAAGGTGATCTCTTTTTAATTCTTTTTTCTTTCATTTTCCTTTCTTTCTAAGTCTCTTCTCCTTTGGTTTTACTCGAGCACTTATGGGCTTAAGGATTGAAAGACTATTTCCTACTTGTATRTACTTGTATATAAGCATACTTGTATATAAGCATAATATTAAAGATATTCTGGAAGGACTCCATAGCCTTTGTTCCTAACTACAAACCAAGACTTCAACAGAATTATCTGAACTGCAGATCTGCTTCACTCTGCTTCACAAGATCTTCTTGGACACACTCTTTCAGAAACATAGGAAGTTCATATAAATACCTGAGCTAGGTGTGCTCACAAAGACAAATGTAGACACGTGGGAGTGATGCCAGCTTCTCAAGAACTAGCTGAGAATTGGCTTAAATACCAGTAAACATTTCTGATAGAGGAATTCAGGAGGGCAATAACCTCCTCTATCAGCTTGCAGTACTTCAGGCAAATTGGCCACTCCAATGAGGTGGAGGCCACAATCTTTGCAGAGAGAACCATAGCAGTGGCAAAGTTCTGAGGAGAGCCTACGTGCTCAAGAGCTTGCAGCTAGCCCTGGAGGCTCCATGACCATACTGCACTTATCAATACTGTATTAATGTCTCAACTCTTCATCCTAGATAAGCCAGTTTTCCAAGTTACTGCCTTCGACAAAGATGAAGACGGCACTGAGAATTCTCGAGTGTCCTATTCTCTGACAATGCAAATGCCCATTCTAGATGGAATCATATTTAATATTGATCCTACCACAGGTTTGATACACCTGTCTGGATGCCTGCATTATGAGGTGATGTAAATATGACAGCTTATTAATAATTTATTGCATGATACGTATTAACCAGGTACAAGGAGATGGGATGTCTCACATCCAGTTTTTAGCTGTCATTAACAAAATCTGGAAATTGCTTCTAGATCAAGTTTGGAAATTCCTTTTTTGTTTTTCAGACTGCTAGTTCTTTTAAACTTCTGGCTGAAGCCAGTGACCACGGAGCCCCCCGGCAATCATCTACTGCAACGGTGAATGTAGCTATTGAAGATGCAAACAACCACCTCCCTGTATTTGTCAGTGAGCATGTGAGTAGAAGCATTGGTACTTTACTAAGCTTTCCTAATCTTTCTAAGCTGTCCAATCTTTCAAACTGCTGAATAGATTCAGTAGGTGAAAGGGGAACCTTCACCTACTGAAAGGGGAACCTTCAAACTCCTTCAGGATCCCACCAAAACACATAAAAAGAAGAGTTACTTTGCCTGTCTGTGGAATACTAGTTAGGCTAGACTGCGCCCTCAAGCAATTAAACTGTTGAGAGYCAATGGACTAAAATCTGTCGCATAAATTCCTGATGCTCTAGAAAACAAGTAACATCTGCTAACAAGTTCTGGCCTAAGTGCGTATGCACAAACTCCTCAACATGGCAGAAAAAAAAAAATGAGGATTCTGTATCACAGAATGGGGACCTGTGAACCACAGAACAATCAGAGAACAATTACAATTGCCAGAAGGAAGAGGTTCCTCATGGCCTGGAACTGGAGCTCTGATTCACAAAGTCCTTCCCCTCAGAGCAAAAGAGACTTATTCTTTCCTTTGCCCTCTCAGTACCAGGTAGAGGTTTCGGCAGGCCAAGAACATCCAGCAGCACTACAGCTCCAGGTGGAAGACAAGGATTCTCCCAATACTCCAGCTTGGAGAGCAAAATACAAAATAGCAGAAGGCAATGAGAAAGAGCATTTTGACATTGTGACTGATCCAGAAACAAATAATGGCATTTTGAGTATCATCAAGGTAATGTTACTGACCAGACTAGAGAAGGTGAGCTACAATACGGCAATTTGTAGCATGCTCGGTTTTACTATTAGACTAATAGTTTAGCAACTTAGCTGATCAGCAGTTCACCTCTGGGTTCCAGGTACTCAGAGATGACTRCCACAGCAAAGATCATAATCACTAATGAGGCTTCTCTCTGGGGTTTTCAGCCTCTCAGCTACAAGGAGAACTCTGAAAAGAGGCTTGTCATTTCTGTAGAAAATGAAGAACCTTTTTTCTCATGTAAAAATGGTGAAGTGATGATCTCAAGCCCAGAAATCATGAATGCAACTGTGAAAATCAAGGTTGTACAATCACAACATGCTCCTCAATTTCACCCTCCTATACTTATTGTCCAAAAAGAAGATTCCATGAAGCCTGGGGCAGTATTTAGAAGATATCTTGCTACATACCCAGCTCAATTACCATGGAAGATAAAGTAAGCAGAGGTTCTTCTAAGTCTCAGAATAAGAAATAGCTTAGGAAAACATATGAATTTTCAAGTTTAATTTGGTACCTATACATATATGTATACACATACATATATGTATATCTACATATATCTAATCATATGAACATACACATTAGAGTTGTAGGTTTACTCTGGGTAATACAAAACAAGCTATCTGGATCTGCAGTAAGATACAGTTTTAAAGGTTCATTCATCCGTCCTCGACTGGTCAACATTTTTGATGTGTTCCTAATAAAATTTTTACCTGAAATCAGGTTGCATTATTTGTTGCATTATTAATTTCTAACACAGAATTTTGATGTTATAAAAGGATTGGTTCTAAGAATACATACTGTCTTAGCCCTGAAGAATAGATTTGAGAGGCCAGGCAACACCTATGACAACGGTATGGGGAATATTTCTTCTGGCTACGCTAAAATTTATAGCTTGTCATAGAGTCAGCAAAGGTAAGCATCGCTAAATAGCAAAAAGACTTGAAGAACTTATAAAGAAAGATGCAGTAAAAGCTTTATTCATTTCAACTCCATTTAAGAAAATAATGGATGCATATAAGAAAATAAAGGGCACTTGTAATTTTGCGTTTCTCTCTTTTTGAGATACGAACTAGCTCATGACCCAGCTGGTTGGCTGAGTGTGGATGAAAATTCTGGAGTCCTCACTGTGGCAAGCGATTTTGATCAAGAATCCCCTTATGTGAACAACAGTCAATACACCATTATTATTCATGCTGTTGATGATGGTAAGTAGCCACTCAAACAGTACTCAAGTAGTACTTAGTTTAAAGTGAGGTGTGTGTCAGAGGTCTAAAATGATAGCGAGACTAGGAATTTGAATGGAGAACTGTAATGCAGAACACCCTAATGGTTAAACATTAATTATGTCATGTGACTAGTAAGACAAATCAGGCAAAGACTCCTCCAAGTGTTGTTTTTTGKTCAATAACTGGTTATCAATACTTTTGTGTTTCTTTCGCTCCTGTCTAGGTATTCCACCACAGACTGGGACTGGCACCATTCTCCTTTACTTGTCTGACATTCATGAACGAATGCCAGTATTAGCAACTCCTTCTTTACATGTGTGTGACCAAAAGGAAAGGACACCTCTCATTATAAAAGCTAAGTCTGCCCAGGCTCAGGATTTGAATGGACAATTTAAGTTTCAACTGGCTGAGGACTCTGAAGATGTGAAGCGTAACTGGAAATTGGGAAGGAATTTTGGTGAGCGCTTCCTTCCATCCGCTTAATGAGAAATTTACTGTCGTGTATGTGCACTCTAGTTGTTCTACTGTCTCTTATATGGTCTGTTACTTGACAGTCTTTAGGAGACTGAAAGAACATGGAAAACCACCTTTCAAAATGTAAAGCGTTGCTGCAGTTTGAAAAGATAATCACCACTGATCTTCATCTCTTTTGAGGTCTAGAAGAAATGTGCCCAAATGGCAGGAAAAGGGATAAAGCAGATGAGGAACAGCTTGGGCACTCGATTGACTTCCTAACGAATTCTAGTGGTTATCAGTGTGGTTAAGCCAGAACACAGTGGGGCTGATCCCAACAGGCTCTGCAAGACAACAGAGCAGGATGACATTTTCCTGGTCACTTTAGTGCACTAAGGATGGAAAAGGATTTGATATTGGTGTAAATGGGTTTCCCTTGAAACTCAATTGTTAATCAAAACAAGGCACTGTAGACTATCAAATTTCTTTCCGTTAATCTTGAAGTGATTTTGCATGTTTTCTTTTTAGGGGAGTCAGTTGAGCTATTAATGTTAAGAAGCCTTCCACAAGGTAGTTACTTGGTGCCCTTTGTTATTTGGGATGAACAAGGATTTTCTACAAGGCAGAATCAGCATGTAAGGCTCTGCGCTTGCCTCGATGGGCACACGTGTGAAGACTCACCACTTTCACAAGTGGGACTTGGAGGCAGTGCCATTGCAGCAATGCTGACAGCTCTCCTATTATTACTGGGTAAGTAGCCTCCTAGCTTGAACATTCCAAGGCTGACAATGCAGGGTAACAGACCCTGCAAAGATTAATGCAAACTATCTCCACTCCTGGCTGGGATGTGAAAAGGTGAGAACTGTATATTACAGAAAAATGTAAAAGGGGATGGAATGCTTACATGTGTATGAACAATAATAAATTAAATATACAGCCTGGGAAAGAAATAAAGTATCTAAATGGAAAAGACAGAAGCGTAATGTTGGTAAGTGGATTTTTTTCACCTTGTTACCTTATTGCAGACAGACAGAAGACAACTGACAAATTATTTGTGTCAAGTAGTAAATAGAACTAGTATTCACAAAGTTCATGTTCAAACTGGATGAAATTAAAAGACAAGTAATCATTCTGACATTAGCCAAATGCTGACTAACTGGAAGGAGTAAGAATTCCTCCCACAGTTATTCTATTCAGTAATTGCTTGCTACACAGCTGCTTCCTCTGCAACATGTGGCTATTGCTGGAGAAATGGCATAAGCTAAACTACTGATTCTTTATCTTAAACAAGAACTAACAGATATCTGCCCACTATGCTGTCCTTGRGCTACTTGCAAGTGATGTATGCTTGCTCAATGCAATACATATTCCAAGGAGGTAACACTATGACTACGCTCTGTACAGCTCTTGAAACCAGGCTGAGCACTCCTGGCCAAGCTCTGCATCTGCACACAGGCTCGGGTACAGCCCCCTGTACTGAGTCACATTTACTTACAATGTTCATTTCACCATTTCCTTTCTTGTTTCAACAGTTGCTAGTATTCTACTTTGTCGGTTTTATGCATCAAGATCCAAAGGCAAGCCCAGTCTTTCACCTCAAGAAGGGGAACAGACTTTAATCACCTATAATGAAGAAAGTGGAAAGCCTCTATCTCAGGTGAGCACAAAAGCAGGAGTTCTCCTCACCCAGTCAGTGTTGTGTGGTTGAATCTATGCTAGTCATCCTTTTTTTTCCCTCACATTCCTTCTGTCTTTTTTTTTTTTTTTTTTTTTTTTTTGTATTGAGCAGAATAAAGCCTCTTTTGTCACTAAGTGCATCTAGGGAGCAGTGTTCTTCAAGGACTGGATGATGCAACTTTGGTAACAGACATTATTTTCAGTCCTAGCATTTTTCAGCATCTCCTAGACAGGTACCTCATCCTACAGATGCATCCAACACATGAGGAGTCACATAATCTCTTGTCATATTGCACACACTAGTGTTTTCAGCAAGAAGTAAATGAAAGTGAAAAAGCAAAGAGCCTGCAAAAGTGGGATCTTTCACAGTCTAGTTCAGTTGGTAATTAACACCTTCCCTCTCCCTGTATGCAGGATAAGATGGACACTACAGATTATGTCACCCTACCACCTCTATCTGCAGAAGCTGGAAAAGTAACTGTCAAGGTAACTGCCAGTGTCCTTATGTCCAAMTGTAAATGCCCTTTTCTCATACCACAAAAAATCCTGAGAATGAGATACCTTGTCTTTTGGGGTGGGGAGGTGGGTGGGTCTTTTCTTAGAGGAGAAGTTTGAGAGGGGATCTTATCAATATGTACAAATACCTGAAGGGAGAATGTAAAGAGGATGAGGCCACACTCCTCTTGGTGGTGGCCAGTGACAGCATAAGGGATAATGGGAATAAATTAAAACACAGGAAGTTCCATCTCCATCTGAGGAAGAACCCCTATACTGTGAGGGTAACAGAGCCCTGGAACMGGCTGCCCAGGGAGGTTGTGGAGTCTCCTTCTCTGGAGGCCTTCAAAACCACCTGGATGCCGCCCTGTGCCACTTGCTCTAGGTGTCCCTGCTGGAGCAGGGGGGTTAGATTAGATGATCTCTAGAGGTCCCTCCCTGCCTGTGATAGGCAGGAAAAGCTGCAACGTTATGGAGAAGAAACTGTAAGAGAAATACAGTTAGATGTACTTGCATTGGAAAGAATTGTCTGTAAGGGGGTTTGGGCCGGTAAAACACCATGTTAGATATTATTTCTGTCTTTCAGGACAGCCAGTACACTAGAAACAGAGAGACCTCCCAAATAAATTACCTCACATCCACAAATAAATTACATCACATCCTACAGATGGTGGACAAAATACTGGATCAGGTAAGAAACAGCAGTTACTGAATCAGCCCTGTGTGAAGTTGGGTCATAGGAATAGGAAACAAGAACAGGAAACAAAGTTTATGAAACAACAGGAAGATAGCTACAGTTTCTGCTACTTTCTCAATGATATTCTTCACAGTAGCCTCCTGCCTAGCTTGCATACTGTGAGTCTCATTACTTTCCAAACAGGCTTCCATGGTGATTTTTATTCTTTCTTCTCTTCTTCAGAAATTGTATGACCAAAGGGAATTGGAAGATGATGGGCACAGCTATGAACCTTGCAGATATGCTGAGGAAGGAGAACTAGAGAGAAGCAGCTCCTTGCAGTCTCTCTCCAATGTCAGCGAGGAATTGCCCTTGGATTTTTTGCAAACTCTGGGGCCAAAGTTTTCTAATCTGGAAGAAATCTGCAAGAAACAATTTCGACCGCTCAATTAACTGCAGAAGGTCATAACTAATGACAGAGTTACAAAGGCTTTTGGAAGATACACTGACAAAATTCCAAKAAAAGAACCATCCACACTGGAAAGATTTACTGCATGTTTGCACCACGACTATCTGGCCTTTTATTCCTCCTGGCTATAATGTTTACACGTCTGYAGTCAAGAACTTGGCATGGATAATGATATATTATGCAAAGGTAAAAATAGGTCTACCAGGCTAGAAATTGAAGTTAAAGTTACATATGGAAATAAGACAACTTTGAAAATGGAAGGCAATTACTAGGTAGGTTGGAATAGAGTCATTTCTCCAAGAAGTGGAGTCCTTACATCCAGACCGGCTTTCAAACAGATTAGTATAACCATGTAGCTCTGACTGTATGAGCAGATCTTTTTCCATATGATCTTGAAACATCTAAGAGAATATACACCTCTATTCTTAGCAAGCTAGCCACTTTCATCCTGTCCTGAGAGGTYACCACCATCCTTGCCTTACAGCATAAAACAGGCACTCAGTAAGTCCTTGCACACTTAGGCTGGCATCTGGTGGCTGTTAGAATTATTACACTATCATAAACACTAAATGCTAAGAAATTCTTGACTGAGGAGAAAGTATGGCTATTCATTTTTTTTCCTCCAAATAACTAGCTTCTCTAACTTAGCTAAAAAGTGATTGTGCTATGGAAATTCATGGATTTCCTCAGGCATCATTGACAAAGTAGCTGACACAATAAAGAAATGATGATAGCAGATTTCTTTATATGGAAACCGGAGATGTGTTATTTTAAATTGTGCCATCGAACACACCTCCAAGTATGCAGTGGCCTATGCTCATTTACAGCATGATGGCAATCAATGTTACAATGCATTCATGAGGAAAGAATAACTCCAGAAGACAGTATAGTATTTTGCTGTTAGAAAAGATATATAAGCAACAAGAAATGGGATCAGTCAGTCTTATTTCTATTCTATTTTTGTGCTAAAGAACCTTCCACCTAAGGCAAATACTAGATCTAGTATCTAAGGCACTGTTTTTCTGTTTCAAAGTTCACATAAACAATAAATTATACTTTTTCTCAGATGTTATTAACTAATAATTCAAGGATGGAAACTTTCAATCAAATGTGATTATGGAATCTAGCTGAATGGTTAGGAGCTAAATTTTTCTAAATACCAGCAGCCAGATCTGTTTATACAATAAATCACTACTTTGATAAATTGATTGTAAGTTACAATTCCAGATGGAAGAGCTTAAATCAGGCCAGTGATTCAGCAGCACTGTCAATAATCAAGACGACTATATTATTGTAAACTATAACCATATGGGTAAGATTAGAATTGTGTTGTATTTTTCTATTTCCACTAATAATGATGCACGATTAAAAAATAACAACAAAAGTATTCTGTCTATACAAACACTAAAATCATTAGATGTGATCAGACCCCTGTTACTAATGGCATAACAAATCTCTTTTACATGAAAAAAGACTATTTCCACAAAAACGCAAACAGGAACATTCATGGGAGGTTACCACCACATACAATGTATCCAGGCAGCAGTGACTTGCTTTGTTTCAATATCTTCTATTCAAGGATTTAGAAGACCTTCATATAGAGTAAATTAACACAGCTTCCCAACACGGCTGTGATGTACAGGCGTAGTATTTACGTTCTAAACAACAGCAAAAGCAAAACAAAAAGTATAAAAGGCCAAAAAAGCACCTTTGTTCACCACAGTCACACAGAAAGCTTGCAGCAGGCCAAGGAGTGACCCTTAGCCACTGGGCGCTCTCTCTCTGTGCTTCTCTAGCATTGACCTTTATGCCACTCCATTGGACCAGATACAAGGAATATGAACAAATGATATGGTCATATCAAAACAGCAGAAAATCTTTAACGTATGCAATCTTGAAGTAAACAAAGAAGTCAAGAAATAATTTAAACCTCCATTTTACAGAAAAAGAACTGATACATAAAAATTACTAAGTCATCTCCCACAGTCAAAAAGCGACTTGGCAAAGAAGAGCACAGACGCCGATTTTCAGAATCCCATCTTAGCACTACAGTCACTGAACTACTGTAATATTCACAATTCCTGTCAAACCTGTCATTTATCTGCTAGTTCCCTATTCCTCATTTCTCTCATTAAGCATTTGTGGTCGTGTATTGGGTGATGCCACACTTTTTCACATCACTGTCTGCCTCTTAATAGAGATGAGTACTTTCACATTGGAATCACAAAGCA